TCTCTTTATAGAAAAGAGATGAGTACTCTGATGACAGAACAATTTCAACAATCGACATTAATGCTACAGAAACTTTAGTTACGAGGAAGGCAAGTAGAAGAACTAAGTGATCACTCTAGCAGATATAAACAAGTGAGCAAATAGTTTTTTCCTGAGAAACTAAAATTGTGAAAGACATGGCAGTGTGGCAGCACAAAGGAGATTACATTGGGCCAAGAAATGACATCATGCTCCTTAAGCCAAAATAACGGGAGGCAGCACCTGCTAAGCCCTGTCAAAAACCAATAACAATGAAATGTTAGCATGTACTTAGAACTCTAAAGAAATCATAGTTTTTGAAGCAGAGCCTGAAAGAGAATTAGTAAGACCATCATAACAGGTTTCAAGAATTATTATTATTGAAGGGTCCTTCCAAGTCACATTTCTATTTTTCATTTATCTTGTGTTGATCTGGGATGAGGATGTCATTTAACCTATAATTCAGCATATATAGGCTTGAAAATGATTAACTATCTTCAACAAAAATGCACATAGAAAGTGTGGAGAATCTTAGGAAATTAAGGAGTATGAGGCTGCATCATTTACGGAAAAAGATCAACTTATGACCACTCTTTCTATAGCGGTATCTGTTGGACTTTAGGAGCAGTAAAACAAGTACAGACAGTAATCTTCAGTAGTTAAGCAGAATCGGCTACCCTCAAAACAGTGCATATTCATAAGATTCAAAAACCTTTTTTGCAGCCAGCATGGCCAATCTGGACTCCAGGTTAAGAGCCGCCACTTCTCCACCCTAAAACCAACAAGAGCCATGTGAAGTCATGAAAGTCATGCAAGAGAATCACAAGTTAATTATCATAACACCTCCAGTAACCACGGCAATGCAGGGAAGACTTTATTATTATTTGTATTTGGTTTGCCAAAGACACCTGTTAGTGAAAGAACAGTCTCTCTCTTATTTTTACTTCCGTCCAGGAGATTTTTGTTAAAACCTGTCTGGTTGCTACATATGAAAAGGAATTTTCTGGAAAGTCAACTTTGTGGAACCTAAAACATTTTTCGTGCATTTCATCACAGGGAACCTTTTGGAAAATATGGTCAAGGAAATTCTTTGTCATGGATTTTCCTCCAAATTAAGTCTAGCAAGATTTGCAGGACTAATTTAGGAAACTGATTTACTCTTGATTTTAAGCTTTTCTTTTCTTCTCAAACAAATGCATGCAACAAATGTTAGTCCAACTATTTACTTTTACTTGCTACGATTTCTCAAATCCACATTTCTAGCAAATTTCTTGACATCCAACGAACCTTAACTCTAGCAGATGTATTCAAGACAGTCTTAATGTACCGTCAAAATGCCAAGACTACTCAACTTTTGGATGCACTCATACTCAAACAAAATCCTTGAACAAGAAAAATGGATTAAAGAGATGCCAGAACCCAGACCAAACAACTTCCTCTATAATAAATGGTTAAACAATCATCTTTTAATTATATATAATTATATAAATGGTTAGCCAATTTTATGACCATAATCACACGTGAAAAGAAATATAGGTTCAAATGTCAAAGTACATTAACTGATTCAGGTACAGCGCACATTAATTGGTTCAGGAACAGTAAAGAGACCCATTTAAAGTGTCTAGTGTCAGCTACTGTCTCCAACAAACTCAGGACTTTTAAGCACCTTTTTAAGAACTTCCCTACTAATCTGATAGTTGGCAGCCTCCAATAGCATCTTCCCTGAAAATCTCCTGGCTAACTAGAGAAGCAGTAAACATTATCCGTGGTTAAACAGGATGAAAGCACAGGATAAGGAAAGCAAATTGTAGAAATCACAAGGTATCAATTATACCCCGTTGTATATCTTCCCCAATGTTAGCACCCCTCCACCCTAAAACACAAAGATCGTGTTAGCTAATGCATAACCAAAAGGCTCAAGAGAGATACAAGTTTCCAAAATATAAGTAGAAACCTTTAATATTACTGAACGAACCCCTTCTGCCCCAGCTTTTATTGTGGCAGCAGCTTGTACCTTCCACTTACTAAGCCCAAATTCTAGACTACCATGCCCATCAGAAGCATCCAAGCTTTCTTTTGAGCTGTTGAAGATACATATTTGCCATATAAGTTCCAAATAAGAGTCAAGATTTCCACACTAAGAGAAGAAAGAAGATAAATCACAGCAGAAGAAACTAGAAGAAATCTCCTACATAGAGACTCGAGAATGAAGGGATAACTGGTCAAATCAATCTGACAACCTTGAAGCACGCCAAACCCAATAGAACTGATCAGAAAGGCAAAGGAAATCGAGAGGGAGAAAATCAATAAAAACAATATATACGTCCCAATTTATAGGACACTTTCTATTTTCTGGCAACCTAAAATGTTCACAACATTCCATCAGTTCTTTTATAAGGTAAGGTAGCGTTCACAACATTCCACTAGTAACATCATCTTTTTAAGATGAAATCCACTAGTAACATCATTCTATACAACTTTCACAACTTACACAAAATTAAATTCATTCTACTAATCAAATTTAAACTTTATTGTAGGGTAGTATTTTTCTATCAAACAAAAGGAAAGTGATTTACCTTGAGTACTCTTGCAGCAGATGAAGAAAAATCTCAGCTTCCAGGTCTTCTGCAGATAATTTGGCTGAGCACCTTATAGTTAATTTTTCCCTGACACCAAGCAATACCTCCCTATACGATGGTCTCCTACCCCTAGATTGAATACCAAACGACATCAATCACTGACATAATGAAACAAACATAAGAACTAAAATAAAAGAAACATGTTGAAGGTTAGGAAATGGCAAACCATTGTTTGTATAGAACTAGAGATCAATCGGGTGATGATCACCACTTATTTCATCACCAAACTAGAGATGGATCGGATGATGATCACCAGTTAATTCGGTTTCATTATCAAAGTCTACCCTTCCACAAGCAACCAATAAAAATCACTCCCATTTGAACTCCACATAATCAACCACCGAATCCTTTAATAATTAGCTATCAATAGCTTGAGTTATGATGATTCATAATTTGCAGAGAGTATCCATGCAATTTACATAAACAACTCAAATGCTATCACAAAGGTCAGGTTCGAACAATGAAGATAACATCCATTGGAGTAATTGGACTGAAGAACATTTTAAAGTTCTGATTAAAATACAACTATTCTAAATAAAAGAAATAGAGAAACCTCAATGTGGATCGTGCATCAGCTGCAAGGTATAAAAATCTTGATTCAAGCATTGACAAAAATTCATCCCTCTCATCTGGGTCTTCTCCGACCATAACATAATCAAATTCAGTTCTCTTTGTTACTGACTTCAACAATGGGCTAAAGTAACTGAAACATAAAAGATACAAGAAGGCAAATGTGCTAAGAATGGTCAAAGCACCTTATTTTTCATTAGAACAGTAAAAAGGAACATATTGCAACTGTTTATTACCTTGGACCAAATAAAATTCTTTGAAGTTCATACAGTTCAGAATCAGTGGCGAGTTCGAGCACAGAACGAAGATCCGGATCAACTTCGCTGCTGCCGCTCTCCTCTGTAGTGTATTTCACAATTCATAACAAAATTCAAAGTAAAACTACCAGTAATGAAGAGAAAGCCATAAAATGCTTTAAAAGTACACCTCGAGATTGACTTGAAAGTAAGGCACGGGCAGGATTTAAGAGGAGCCTTGAGCCGGAGCTTCGACGGCAATATAATTTGATAATCTATAAACATAAAAGTAACAGAGTTCATATAGAGTAATTACATAAATACATGTGAAGCGGAATTCAGCGGAAACTGCAGGTACAGAATCGACATTCTCAATTACTCATACTGGAAAATACACCTCGAGAATAAGGAAGTAGAACTTACTTTTTGACGAGAGAAAGTGGTGAGTGGCCAAGTAACAGGGAGGAGAAAGGGAGGTTGACGTAGATAGCCAAAATGAAGTGGCCGCCGGTGGAATTGGTAGTTCAGTGGAACGGAGTAGAAAGCTCCGGCGGTACCCATTGTTGCGGACACAGTCTGCTCAGTTCTGTGAGTCAGTGACCACGCAAGCATATGGCCAAAATGGGGATTTCTTTAAATTGACAGAAATACCCCTCATAATTTTCCAAAATAAATAGTGAATGTTGTATTTTATAAAGTGTACAAATACAACATTTACTATTTATTTTGGAAAATAAGAACCAAAATAAGTTGTAGTCTGTTTCATATTACTTGATCATGTTAAGAAAATGATACACCCGCGAGAAAACTTTAATTAGAGATTATTTTATTAAATTGATTTTATTAATGATGTTTTCTCTACTTTTGACGGTTATTTAATACCAAGGGTAAAAAGAGAAGAACAGGATAAAATTCTCTTAACTTTATAAATTGGACAAGTAAATTAAATAATTATTTTTAATAGAAGAGTCAAGTGAACATAAAACGAACAAGTATTTGCCAAATGGCATTTAGAAGTCCAGTCGCAATTACAGCCATTTCTTCGCACTTGCGATGCTTAGGCATGGCCAGAACTCTGCGGCGCGGATGATTGATTTGCCGGAAAAGATTGATTGCACAAAAAGAAAAAACTTGTTTGTATAATGTGATATTTTTGAACATATATTGACTGGAAGAAAAATAATTTCATTGAAAAAAAAAGTATTTTAAGACCACTGCTTCACGGAGAACATTATTTGGAAACAAGCCTTCTACTTTAATCTTAAATGTTCCATTTGACCAGCTAATGAAATAGTATTTGACCTGAAGTTTACAAAATTGAAGAAATAGTAGTAAGATCTTGTTGAAGTGTAGAAATACTATCGGATAACCTTTGAAGCTTACGCCAAATGATAAATCATTCCCACAAATAAGTATTTCCTCTTTATAGAATTAGCTGCTAGGAGAAAACTTAGCCAGATTAAGCATCACTTCTCGAGTGCTTGCAGCATTTTTACACAATAGCAATTGAAATAATAGTGGCAAATATAATAGGCCCTCATTGAGAAAATAATTTAGCATTGAAACGCTGGTCGTTCTCCACTGGCTAACACACGCAGCCTTATGTGTTATGCCTGTGGAAGGAGAATCCTTAAAAACTTGGACAAGAATTAAATAGGACATCATGCCTCAGTTTTACTGTAAAACTTTTACATACTGATCTCTGAAGAAAAGAAACTTCATCCCTTCTTGTCGTAGGCAGCTATATTTTGTGGTTCACATTCAGGACTAAATAGACGAACTAGCAAAGCGGTGCTTGAGCTCACAGTAACAGCTCCACAAGTTGCCCATCTAAGACTTCTAGGAACTGTGATTCTAGGACCTGTATTATTAGGGTACGACATGCAATATCAGAAAAGAAATAACATGCATAATCAAGACGCGGTAATCTACAACAACTTTTAATTAAAAGAAGCATGCCCTACAGAAGAACTGTAGATTGTAGGAAATTGATGCAACAATCTTTTTATCTATAAAATTCAGAAGTCATTCCAGCAGTCAATCAACTACTTTAAGGTGCTGTACAAAGATCAAAACTGAGAATATCAAATACATGCAAGCACATGAAATTCCCAAGTTTATGGTCAGTGACCGATCCAGGATATTCACTAATGGGTTCAAAAAATTAAAAATATAGTGCCTAGAATTTGAACTTGGAACCAATTTTGAACCTCCTAAACTAGTGAGCCAACCTCTAAGTCTTGTGCTTGGGAGATTCAAAAAAATAAATATATATATATACACGATGTAATTTTTTGCAGAGGGGGTTCGGGTGAACACCCTAGCCCCCTCCTAGATCCGCCCCTGATCCTGGTGACCTTCGTCTCTTCCTTGTTGCATTTTAGAGCTTTTCTAGCAACAAAAGATCCAAACACTCAGAGCTCAACAAGAACCAAAGTCCTGCTTAAATGAACCCTGAAACAGTACTCAGACAAAAGTGTTCTTTCTTTGTCATTGGATCAGCAAGGATGTGATTCAGATGGATCAAGAGATGACAAGGTATGTTGTGGACTGGGAAGTGCCGAAGAAGGTTGGATGCTTTAAGTCATTTTAGATACGGCATGACAACTCAGGAGGAGTAGAAATTTGCCACAACCTAGGAGGGCAGCATACAAGTCACAATATGGGTTCCAGTGAAGCTGATTAAGTCATTAGTAAAAGCCGAAGTCAATGAGGTTACTAGTGTGAAGAAACTGAAACCTTGAGCTCAAGGACATAGTTTTCCAATAAAAGATCGACCTATCATATAACTATTGTAATGAAAGATATATCTTTAGATGATGAATATGTACAGATGTATTCCCACTTAAGTCCACTGTCCTCTTCCTTCTTCCAGCCTGCCTTATCCGGTTCGCTCTCTTCTTTAACCTCGGGAAGTATTTCTTATATTATACTTCCCCAGAAGACAAGCTTACAAACCCAACTCTACTGCCAAATTCCTCTCTTTTTCACCCCTTTGCCTCACCGCAACGACAATATTGTGAAAAGGATTAATTAGGCCCATCTTTACCCAAACAAAGCGACGACCATTACTACATTGATCCACCCTTTTTATAAGTAGAGCATGACAGTGAAAGAAGAAGGATACAGGGTGGCAACACATGGAGGAAGATTTAGAGCCTAGGAACTGCAACTCTAAGCTTGAGAACACTCTAAAAGATAAATTAACGAAAAACAAGGTAAATGAACTGAAACAATCCTCTTGCAAAGCAACAAGCTCAAACAGCACTTGATCTTCAGAGAAAAAATCTTACCTTTAAATTTAAAATTTTGTTTCTCAAAACAACATGCCATTTTAGATACTTGATATTTGTAAAGCACCACACTAATTAATATTAGGAGATCAATCAATAAATTAAACAAACACATTTTCTCATTGTTGTAAATTTAGAGATAAAAATTCCATTTAGTGCATTCCAATTGAATTCCTAGGTCCAAAATAACACGAAGATTAAGAACAACCGCAGGAGAAATATAAAACGAACCATAGTGCAATCGGCAAAGAATCCAAAATCCTAATGCTCCTCCAACAGAAAAGATCCCAGCAGTTTGTCTCATTAGTCTTGTGCAAGGTTTTGCATCTGATCTCATTAACTCTCCATCCGAATACCCAAGCATACGCCTCAAAGCCATCACCCCAGAAACCCTGGATTACAATGAAACTTTAGTTTAATAATAATGAATTTAGTCAAATAATAGCTTCGCTTAGGCATTTTCACAAACAGGTTGGTGGCAGTATGTAAAACTTACTCAATAATCACCAAATGCACAATTGAATCGCTGTTGCAGCTACTGAAGACAGGGTTCTCAAAAATTTTGTAATCCTTCTCAATTACAGCTCTGCTTCCAAAAAGTGGGTTTTTTTTTTTTTCTGAAATACTTTGGCAGAGTAGAAGGTTAAATAGGGAGAGAAGCAGCGTCAATTCAATTTCCATAATTACCCATTCTGCCTGTGCTCTTGTTTCAATTTGTTTGTCCGATTTAAAAGAGAATATTTTTTATAGCAATTTTTTAACTTTTTCTACATGATATGTTTTACATCATAGTATTTAAAAGTATTTTAATATATTTGACATATTTTTAATTTAAATACTATTTCAACATAAAATAAGATAACGGAAAAGGGTCAAAATTGCCCCCGAACTATATGAAATAGATCATTTATACCCTTCGTTACATTTTGGGATCAAAAATGCCACTATTGTTATCCTAAGAGACCACAAATACCCTCAAGAGTTAACACCCCAATTTTTTGTTGACGTGGCAAGCCACGTGGAACTAATCCTTCCACCTAAGCGTTGCCAACTAGGATTCACTACAAAAGAATTAGACATTTAGCGGCAACAACAGTCGCCACAAAAGCCCAGAAAATCGTCACTAAAAGTTTTTAACATTAAATTCTAATTTTCTGTTTTTTTCTTCATTATTTTTAAAAACCAAATATGATATCGATTAAGTAGGAGTTTGAAGATACTATATGTTTTATTTTTATGTCATATGTAAATGTATAAAATGTACAATGATGCATTATATATATATAGTAGGAGATTTGAATCGAGAAGTAATTTTAATTATTTTTCGTAATAATATTGGATGTTTTTAATATGGATATTGCAAGTTATTTATTTTAGAAAATTAGGTCGCAATCGAAAATTAATTATCATATTTTTTTGTTGAAAAAATAGGTTTTACTAGCGAATGGTTGTTGGAGCCTTAGTCGTCACTAAAAATCACTCATAACCTTTAGTAGCAATATTTTGGGATTTTGTGGCGACTTTGTCGCCACTAAAAGTCAAGTTCTTTTGTAGTGAATCTTAGTTGGCAATGCTTAGGTGGAGGGATTAGTTCCATGTGGTTTGCCACGTCACTAAAAAATTGGGGTGTTAACTCTTGAAGGTATTTGTGGTCTCCTAGGATAACTGCGGGGGTATTTTTGATCCCAAAATGTAATGGAGGGTATAAGTGGTCTATTTCGCATAGTTCAGGGGCAAATTTGACCCTTTTCCGATAAGATAAATAAATTAGAATGGAGAGAATAGTAATTAGGACAAAAGTATCCCTATATTGAACTTTTCTCATATGGACATTCGATTCTTCGATTTGATTATTTGGATTTCGATTTGGAAACGAATTTGGTTTTTTTTTTAAAAAAAAATTAATTTGATTCGATTTTTCTAAAATGATTTTTTCTATGCAAATGAGAAATAAAAGGAAGATCAAATCATCAAAGTATAAAGAATATTTAAAAAAAAAAAAAAAAACTTAAAAACATTTAGTAGCAGTCAGCAAGGCAACACTACTAACAACTATGTAAAATAAATAAAAATGTCACTCGTGTTTATTTTGGTACAAAAATTGTTCTTTCGAGTGATTATATTTTATTAACATTTTTACATTTAATACAAAATTCTTTCTTAAGCATGATCCAACTATTTTTATCAATGATTATAAATATTTATTATAAAAATTATGATTACGTGATTAAAAAAAATATGACAAATAGTACTTAATATTTCAAATAAAAATAATACATAAATACATAAAGATTCATCATTATCTTTATTCACCATAAATCTCTCTCCTCTATTTTCGCCTTAAACCGGCTCCACCAGTTCCCCACCCATCCATCAACGTATACATCACATCTCGTTCTGATATATCAGGTAGTTCTGATACATCATGTAAAGTAAGGTTTTGTGCTAATGTTTCAGTTTTCACACTATGGTGATGATGAACTCTTCCTCATTTCTCAAACAGTTGAAGATATTCCAGAAAATTCAGTAGATCTAACGTTGCAATTGCCCGATCATCTTCTTCATTCGATATTTTCCTACCTTAGTTTTCATGACCTACTTAATATCCGCCTTGTTTCGAAAAATTGGCATCGTAATATTCAATCCCTTTTTCATGAACAAAATCCTATATATTATACCAGCGATTTCCGAAAATCAGTCCTTTCTTTTCTCTGTGCTTTTAAAAATAAGTTGTTCAATGCTGAACAAAGAGTATTGTGCATTCTATTTTTCAATGACATGAATATCCGCGATACAATGAAATTGCTGGACGGAAACGATTTCCATGAAGTATATTTGAGAATTGAGAGATGAGATATGCTCAACATTGTTATTACTGTTTGCCTTATATTTTTCAGTCGAAATGTCTTACTGTTCTTCATTTAACTGATTGTGAACTTGATTAGGATGTATTATGTGGTGAAGGAATAATTTCATCTTTGCAAGAGTTGAAATTGGAACGCATCATATTATGTGAAGATATACTATCCAAGTTTATTAGTAAGTGCCCTAATATTAGAGAATTGAGTTTGGTGAATTGTTGGGGGATAAGCTTTATCGTATTAACTAAGTTGGATCGTTTGAAGAAGTTGTATGTGAACGTAGGTGATTTTAATTCTTTTACCAACATACAAGTTATTGTCCCGAGTTTACAAGTTTTCCATTTCGTGTCACGGAGTTGTGAAAGTAAAAATGTTGCTTTTAACATGGATATTCATGCTTGTAAAATGTTACGGGAATTTCACTTGGATTGTTGGAAATTTCCCCATGGTCTTGATCCTGAAAACTTTTGTTCAGATTTTCCTCATCTTGAAACTTTGTTACTTGGGCCTTGTCAGACAGAGAAGCCTATCAGAATTTTGAGTTCATCGCTCAGAAAATGGACCTTATCCTTCCCACAGGTCTATGAATGTGATATGGTTTCGTCTCCTAATTTATCTTCTTTCCAAATCCAATATAAGGGTACAACATTTGAAATAATTTAATCTTGAACAGGAAGTAATCAAGAAGTTGTATGGCAGAGGGGATCGCACTTGTTGCTCAAGTACTCATGACAAGTGTTGGCGCCATTTCTTAAAACATTTTGAGGTTAAAGAAGAAAAAATAGAGCAGTCCGTCACATTAAGCTCCTCGAAGGTTATAATAGTTGCTAATGGAAAGAAGTACAAGTTGACAAAGCTCATTTTCATATTTACTTGGCAATTCAATAGTTAGTTTAGGCCACTGCTTTTTAGTTGGATGAATTTTGGTCCGCACTAAGCACGGCTCGAGAGCTGTAATAATTATATTCATATGATCGTTTTGATTGCCCTCTTCTCTTCAATTAGTAGTAATAGTACTAATATATATATGACAACTTATCTTGGAAAACTTACTGGAGGTTCCATGTAACTTACTAGTGGGTGACAATGGGAAGAACTTCACAAGCCTGCTGAGACCCAGTCCATGTAAGGTAACAATGCCAATCAAGATATTAACTGGACTGGAGATGGCATCTTCTGCATTGCATCCTTTGTTCCCTGAAACACCAAATAAGTTCATAAAAGCTCTCTTAATCTCACAAGACGGCAACTATTTATAACCTCTGGTAGAACTATCATCAGACTATTCTTAATCTAAATTCCTTCTCCAGTGACAGTAATAAAAGTTAAGAAGATCAGAGGAAGAACGTGTAATACCATCATTACTAGTACAACTATTAGCACCAGCAGGAGGCACAAAAGATCTTATCATCAATGTGCAAAAGGCAGAAGCAAAGAATTATTTTGTTATAAGTTGAAGGCAGAGGCAAAGCATAATTCTTTATTTCTCATCTGGTAAGTCAAATGACGCCATCCTACTTCGATTGAACAAGCAATATGAAAGTAGTGTCCGGGTCAACTTTCGCGCCCTTCGACTAATTCCACGGGATACTTACCACCTCCTATCAGTAACATGTACCAAGTAACTATGTCCACCAAGGCGATGGGAAGAATTTTTTGTCTTCGCTGGGATTTGAACATGAGACCTCAGTATGCATCCTACCTTATCCAAGAATTTTAACAAGAAAATATAAGCCAAGGCACATGCTAGTCAGTTTTAAAAGACAGAAGTAAATTAAATTAGAGTGGGTGTAAATACATGAAGGAGTATACTACCGCAAATCTTTGTTCAACAAAAAGAAATGAGTCCATATTATGAACTAGATAGCATCAACTATGGAGGGCTGTTGAAAGAGGCTCCACAAAACTAAACAAACAATTTCTACCCTTAGGAGGGGAGGTTGATGGGATTGTTCCTGCTCTATTCCATCAAAATTGCAGCGGAATCCCAACTTCTGAATTCCAAATAGTAACCAATACTGGCCATTTCTACACCAGTTTGCTCACTTGAAGCAACACAATCAGACAAACTGAGAGACCTCCAATGCTACTTGCATATATTATATGGTGACCACAGAGACAAGGCATTGTCACCAGTGCCTCCAAAGCCGAATAAGATGACTGTGATTTATCATCTTACTTCCTATCAATGACTGCACAAACATTGGCCTGTCAATCCACATTTACAACATCTTCTTGCCCTCGTCTAATGCTATAGCAGATAATAAAAGACATATGTTCCCATTAGAACAATGCCACTGATATTGAGAGGGGGGAAATAGTACCAGTATTTTATGTTTGACCACCAAACATCATACATTAAGAAATCTATTTCCAGCAAAAATCCTAAAGCATATTCATGACCTTAGAAGGCTAGAAAGGTTTAACCACAACTTAGTTTTTAACAATTAACAACAATAGCTAGCACATCCGTAGCTGAGCTACAACAAAAAATATTAAAGCAGTAAAGCTCACGCAATTACTAATTAATGGCAAATCGGTTTCAGTTCGTCGAGGTAGTAGCAGGTGGACGTCTCAATCTTTGTAGATGATCGATCCACTGATCCTCCGGAACTTGACTGGTCCAATCAGGAGCCACTCCACCAAAAGAAATCCTACGCATGGCTTCCATTACTCTCGTTGCATTCTCCGTCGTCAATGGAGTGTTGCGACGGCTCTCATCCTCTCTGAACGCTCTCCGTACAGCAGTATCAGACGCCGCTCTTATTCTCTCCTCCTCTTCTTCAACCTCACTCTTATGTTCACCATCCTCGTCACTTAGATCCAGTGATGATATCTCGTTTTCTACGCAATTCGTATAACCATTAGGGAGGCGATGAAAATAACTAGATTCGTCGCACTCTTCATCGTCGGAGTTCTGAACATGATTTGGAATCTGATCGGAGATCTGCAAATCGTCGTCATCAGCGGTGGAAGAGATTGGCTCGTAATATTCCAGCGAATCGTCCGGGTTCGAGTCGGAATCACTTCCGGCGGCGTTCTCTGCAAAATAAAAGCACATCAGAGAACGGATTGATTGAGATACATAACCCGTAGAGGCGAAGAAGGGGAATTTAACATTTACTAACCTTGAATGAAATCCGGTGTGGAATTCAACTGAGCGTTCATTTCCTTTGGAGAAGTTACAGAATTTTGAGGCGAATATTGCAGAACCGATTGAGGTAATAGAAAGGAGTGAATATTCAATCGAAATGATATTTTATCAGATTATAACTTACGACAAATATGTTTTTTTTTTTTTTAATGACAAACACGTTATATGCTTTATTCTATAAGAAAATGATCAAAATGGTCTTAACGGATGGGAGTGTATTAATTTGGTCCTCCGTGTATATTCTCTTGTAACAAAATCTAATAACCGTTTCCAGCATCAAAGACGGATTAATCGAACCCCAATACAAATAATGGAAAAAACGCATACATTTGTTTCTCAACAAATTACAAAATGATTGACACCTAACTTCGTCGCAATTGAATTAGTAATTGTTACATTGACAACAAGTCTCTTTAAAAGCATCATTTGCATAATAGAACACAAAGACATTGATAAACAATGACAAAGAAAAGCCACTCTCAGGTCATTCATAGATAGTCGGCGCTTTTAGTCATAGGCTATCGCCCATTCCTGATAGCCACAGCTCTGCCCGTTCCCTATTCCATTAAAGAATGAATGGGAATTGATCTGACAACAGCTGGGCAAAATCCATCTCTTTCCATTCAATGTAGAGTTGCTACAGATCTCTAAATACAACATTCGATTAAAACTATAATGAATAGAGGATCATCATTATCACATTCTCCCTCGTTGTACATTGTAACAGGGCACAAATGATGAAGGGTACAGAGCTCTAGCCCAATCTATAAGTCCAATAAAATGACTATAATATTTTACTACTAATATTCATCATTGCTATAGGAATAAAATAACATCAGCTGAAGAAAATAGGGTAAGAAACCCAACAATATACAAAAAGAATTAATGATAATGACAAGAACTTCACAAGCCTGCTGAGACCAGTCCATGTAAGGTAACAATACCAATCAACACATTATCTTGATCAATAACTGGCAAGAACTGGACTGGAGATGGTGGAGATTCCATCTTCTGCATTGCATCAGCTGCCATAGCATCTGAACCAATTGTCCTTGGTTTCCTGAAACACCAAGTAAGTGTATAGAAATGTTTTAATCTCGGAGGGTAACTATTCATAACATCTGGAATAAGTGTCATTACTCTTCATCCAACAAAAACTATGTTAATGTGTGAGTGTATATACATTGCCATCTTACTTTTTCAATATAGACCCATATCAAAGTTGTGCTTCACATCCTTAGCATCATCATGTGATAGTGAGAGATACAAGGAAACAGAATCAATTATATACCAACATAACTTCTCAGTGAAAGGATGAGTGAGACGAAAATTCTTTTAAAGAAAGGGAACATATAATATCAGAGGAAGAACGTACAATGATATCATTACTACTACAACTATTAGCACCGTCAGGGGCCAGAAAATATCTGATCAACAATGTGCTTCAGAGGCAGAAGAGCAACGAATTATTTTTTTATAAGCTAAATAAAGGCAGAAGAAGCAAAGAATAATTCTTTGCTTCACATCTGGTAAGTCAAAAGATGCCATCCTACTTGGATTGAACGAGGAAGAAGAAAGTGATGTCGCAAAATTCAAATTCTAATTGGGAGGGAACTTGAATATTGACATCCCAGGAAATATCCAATGACTTATGCAATGTTTATAACAGTAATTTACGAGGATCAACAGTCTGTATCCTACCGTATGCAAGAATTTTAACAAGAGAATACAAACCACGGCCTAATACATGCTAGTCAGGCTTGAAAGACAACTAAATTAGATGATCTGTTTTATAAATCAAACTAAATAATTGTTTAACAAAAAAAAATTGGTCCATATGATGGTTAAAAGAGGATCTATAAAACTAAACAACCAATTTCTACCCTAAACTGTTTCTGTGATGGTGGTGGAGGGGATTGGGCACTGTGACTTAGGTTCAGCAGTAAAGCAGAACGAACGTGAGGGATATGGGATAGGCATTTGTCAAGCAGACAAGCTTCAATCACACTTTGAGCCAAGCCTGGTATTTAAAAAGAGAGGGTCAAGAAGCAGGCCCTTTATCTGTTTGCGGGGTATTGAAGAAGAAGGTGGGGGTGAGGGTGGAAATGCTGGGTTGTTCCTGCTCTATTCCGCCAAATTGCAGCCTAATCCCAACTTGTGAATTCCAAATAGTAATATTGGCCATCTCAATGCCCAATTTTCCCACTTGAAGCAACACAATCAGACAAATATGAGAGTCTCCAATGATACTTGACACTTGCATATGATTAATCATTTACTTCATTTCAACCGCTGCACAAACCGTAGCCGATCAACCGGCATCATTTCCTACATCTTGCCTTCAGCTAGTGCTATAGCAGATCTTTATGCAAAAAGACGTACGTTCTTATTGGAACAATATGCCACTGATATTCTGGAAAGGGAAAGATGACACCAGGATCCTAAGTTTGACTGCCAAAGAAAATTAAGTGCCACGCCATATGTTAATGGAACACTAAGGTCTATTTCCCTACCATGACATCAGCAAAAGTATTAAAATGCTCATGACCGTACAAGGCTAGAAAGGTTTAACCTCAACAAAAATGTGCTTGTCGAAGAATTGCTCTTTTATTCCTAAAGGAATTATGTGTCTTTTGTGGAAGCAATATATCTTTCTTCCTTTCTACTTTTCTTTTTCCAGATGTTCTTTTTCCCATTGATAAGGTCTTTCGGTGATGGCACAAATATGCAACAGAGATACAAGTAAGAAATTACCTGTTACACATTTCTCCAACTGTAAGCTTGAAGATTCCTTCTCCGCTGGCTTTCAATGTCCGACGTAAATCACCATCGGTGAATGTGCCGAGCAGATGAAACTCCTCATCAATAACAAGAAGGCACCCGCATCCTTTGCTTGTCAGCTCTACAAGTTGATCCATAATAAGATCTCCTTCCTTGCAAATTGGAAGATCTTCTTTCTTCTTCATCACATCTCTAACCTGCAAAATTAGATGGCAAGCTCAGGAGTAAGATGAATATTCAACTTCAGCTGCATAAACTTTTACCCCCTCACTTGTTGCAGTAATACAGTTTCCACAAGTTATTATACCCGTTTGGCTCAACCAGATGAACACATACGAAAAATTGATGCAATTCTCACAAAACGGATGAAAGTTAAGGCAGCTAACTAATCAATAGTCATTGTATATCAAAAGATTTCGTGACAATGAGAAAATCAATAAGGCATTGTTTGAACAGTTTCTGGGGGGCTATAATCTTCTATTGAGGGTGAAAAAACCAAACAGACACCAGAATCCAACAAGTCCTTAAACTCGCCCTCACATCAATTGCAACAGACAATAACTGCCTATTGCAATTTAATAAAACACAAGCATTAACACTTAAAATAACCTTCTAACAGCCAAGATTTGGACAAATAAATAACCATCCAACACCCAGGATTTGGACTGATTACTGTGCATTTGCAAAAATATAAAAAGCTACGACTAAGCAAATCATACACATAACAAGGTACATAAAACCAAGAATATTGTATCTCCCAAGTCATTTTTCCAAGGTCCAACAGAAACAACAACAAAAAACCCACTATAATCCCACAGGTGGGATCGGGAGAAGATAGTGTGTATGCAAACCTTACCCCTACCTTGTGATGGTAGAGAGGTTGTTTCCGATAGACCTTCAGCTTAGCGAATATTTCCTAGATCTTACTTCAGAACAACAATAAACACAGCAAAAAAATAACATTTCACAATGGAGCATTCAGAAGAAAGGAATGATATTACTCTTCCTCACCTTGAAGATCAAACTTTTCCCGATCCTCCCAGCAGGGTGATTGGCAGCATACTCCTCCCGGCTCAAATTCCTCGCCCCCATCAAAGCAATCGCCACGGTATCTCCAAACACCATCTGAATTGCAGTAGACGTCACAGGTGCCAAATCAAAAGGGCATAATTCTCTCTCTAAAGGCAAATGCACATTCAGATCACACACACCCATCAAAGAATTAGGCTTTACCGAAGTAACCGAAATCAAAAAGACCCGTTTCGCCTTTGCACAAGGCACAAGCTTTAACAATTCTTCCGTATTCCCACTCTTGCTAAACATAACCAAAACATCTTGTGGATCCAAAATGCCAATGTCTCCATGAAGGGCATCAACAGGGGATAAAAACCCAGATTTGATACCGAGAGAAACAAGGGTCTGTGAGATTTTCTGGGAAACAAACCCAGATTTCCCAACACCAGTAAAGTAAATGGTACCTTTGGCATTAAGGAGAGTTTGGGTAAAACTAAGAGTTTGGGAAAGATCAAGATTTTGAAAGAAATGATTGAGATAATTCTGCTGGGCTTTGAAGAGTTTAAGAAGTTGATCTGGGTCAATTGAATCTTGCTTTGCCGAGTGATGAAAGAAGTCCAGATATGGTGGTGGAAGAGACCCCATTTTTTTGGGTTTTTTTGGATCTTGATTCCTCGGTTATCTCCTCCTCCTTCTCTATTGAAAGGTACTACTACTACCTCTGTAAATGTGTGTGGTAGGGAGAAGAAGCCGAGAGAGAATGTGAACGGTTGATATAGTTCAATTATTCACGCGGGGATTGAGAGGAAGCTGGTATTTAGCAGAATTCAGTGTGGAATATGCAGATCAAGTTGTTCTCTAACTGTAATAACCAAGGATGGGGTAACGGGTAAGTAATCTTCATCATCTTTAAATAGATCTCGAGTTCAAAGCTCGGATACTGCCTTTGTTAGAAAATGTTTTACTCTATTTAATAGTCAATTTATTTTATTAGTGAAAATATACAATTAAAGGATGGTTGTTTAAGAGCCTGTTTGGATCCAAGTGGTGGGAGCTAAGGGTGGACGTTTGGTTCTTCGGTCTGATTTTATCAAATTTTATTTTGATTTCTTAGTTTTTGATTTTGAAAAAGTGTGCACTAAGTATGAAATGAACTACTTCGTTATTTTTTTAACTTCGATTCAATTTAATTCGACATTTCTTAGACGATTTGAAAAAAGCTCACCTCTGATCATCTCGAGTTTGAATTTCAAAGGAGAAAGGAAAAAATTAAGTTTACGGTGCCACCCCAAATGAGCTGCATTACGCGATCATAATCCAAAGTCGCTATCTTTCCAAACAACCGACACACTGCCTCACAAACTATAAAGTCATTATTGAAAGTGATATCCTAGTGTTTTGATGGACATATATAATTATCATGTAAGTTTGATATAAACACTACAATTATCAATAAGAAAACTAGGAACTGAAATTTTAAAAATAAGCAATAAGGCATCCTGTTTAAACCAATAAAGAGAGGGACTGAGGGATCATTTGGTATGAAAGCATTGAATAACTATTTCGGAATTTATATAAAGCTTGATTGGAATAAAATCTCAAAATAACTTATTTTGAGATTATATTATTTTTTTATCCAAAGATTAAAAATAAAATAATTAATTCTTGAATTACTTATTCACCCACCAAACGAGCCATAATAATATTAGTGATTGAATCAAAATTTAAAACTTAGTCCATAAGTAATAAGATATGCTTTGTATGACAGTTTGGTTTGATTAGAATTCAGTCGGAATATAAGATTAGTCACAAAAACCTTGTGCATATTTGTTCACAAATTTATTTTTTAAATGATATTAATAAAATAATATGAAATCATCTCATTAAGTATAAAATAAATATCTAATAAATATTATTAATTTTTATAATTTTAAGTGGTATTGATCAAATGATTTTAAATTTTTACTTTGAAATAAATTATATATATATATATTTATATGGTAGTAAATCATCTCTTTTTTTTTTTTTTTACACGTAGAGGTCCATTGAATTTTACTAACATTCAAAATAATAAAACTATAACTAAAGATAACAAAAGTGGGTCTCATAATTTCAAGAAAATTGTACACTAGGTCTCATAATTTCGAAAAAAATTATACACTTACTAAATTAAAATAGAACAATTTTTATTTTTTTTTGAAAATGCACTTGTTGCTGAAGCAGACACGTCGATGAAGACGTGTCTGCTTCAACTTGAAACTCTCTCTTATATAATAAGAGAAACTTTTGTCATTTTAAATTTAATTAGACTATTTTTTTTTTGTTAAAAATAAAAAGATCACAATCATTTTACCATAATTCATATTAGCGTGTATGGCATATTTCTGCTTATACGGTTATATTCTCCTTATATTCAAGTTCTTTCAATTACAACACGTATGAATATATTATATGCATCATCTGCTAATTTATTTTATTTTTTATTATGGGTAGAAAGGGGATGTGCCAGGGACTAGATTATTAGACCAAAGTTGACAGATATCTAGATATTAAATTTAAAGATGTTGACACAAATTAAAATAAAGTATTTTCTTCTACTTTAAACAATTTTCTAATTGTAAATTAAATTTGAAAATGACTCTTCTGAAAGACCTTTCATGTGTACAGTTCGTTTTAAAAAATTATTTTCAATGATAAATCTTTAGATGGACCCTTTACAACACCTAAATTACTTTTAATTTGCTAGATTTATATATGCTGTATCTTCTGTTTCTTTTTTATTTTCTTTCTTCAACGACATGATTTATTTGTCTACTTTGGATACCCACCACAGCATGGCATAAGTTTTTTTTTTCATATTCGATATTCGTTATTCATATTAGAACTTGATTAAATTTAGATTTGTGTCAAAAAATATCATATCATAAAATAAGAAGAATAAAATACTTCTTAATAAAGACGATTTCATACCCAACAGAGCTTAAAATTGAATTCTCTGATTAAGGATTATTAAGTACTCGTCACTATTTACAAGTCCACAACCCCTGTTTCAAGGGTCTTTGTTTATCTCTAATTGAGCTACTCCTAGGAGGATAAATTATGTAAATTGTGTAAGCATGTTTAAATTTTGACTTCACTCCTGTCATCCTCATTTTTTTTTCAACTTTCCTATAGATGATACAATTCCTTTACTGAATATTTGTTTTTAAAAGAATGTTTTAACTTGAAAAATAAATAAATCATAAACTTTGTACTTATCTTTAATGATAAGTTTTGACAGTTACACAAATACTATGTCGTGTTTATAATTACAATTTTCAAGTTTTACTACCACAATAAACATGTCATTATGATGTGTCTAAAAAGTACAAAAGTATTCATTCATTTTAAAATTGTTTTTAAATTTGAAAATAGTTTAACATTATATTTTCATTTTATTCAAAACATATTTTTATAGTCGTGAAAATATTAACATTATTAAGATCATAAGGGTTAAAAATCATGTATTCATATAAAATTATATATTTAAAATCACAATTTTTAAGGAAAACTTTGTACGTGTTAAATTGCGTCATATATTAACTAATATAAAGCGTATTACAGACTTGGAGTACTTATTTTGGATGATCTCATCATGTCATATATATGGACAGAAGCACCTGCCAATAATTTTACTTGACATGGTCCTCTGTGCAGTTTCAATTCTTTATATCCATTGAGATAAGCCGGTACACGGTGAAAATTTAAATTTGAAACCTCTGAAATTTAAATTTCTTAAATTATTGAGTTTACCTATAATCTTATGTTTATGGTATTTAAAACATATAATTTCTTGTCGAATAAATTTAGCTCGGATGAACACTCTTCCCCCTCTAGATCCGCCCCCGCCAGGCATGGGTCCTTAGAGGAACGACAAAATGGCATAGCATGACACCCTATAGACTAAATTAGCAATAAATAGCCCACTTTTAATTTTTTAGCAAGAAAAAAACTTTGTTTTATTTATTTGGCATTGAATTGTTATTTTTCTTTTCTTTTTTAAAAATGTATTTTTGTCCTCCTTATTTTTCTCAAACACACATTTGATTGCTGCTTTTTTTTTTTCTTGAAAAAACAATTATTGTTTTATTATTCCTATTTTATCTTTTTTATTATTATTTTGTCAACAGTTTTAAAATAGAGTTCTTTGTCTCCTTTTTCTCTTTCCATAATTCTTTTCACACGTATATTTGATTCTCTTCCTAATTTTCAATTCTTCTCCTTAATTCAATCTTTTTATGAAAATCAGATATAACAATATGTTTTTTCATAGATACTTCTAAAAATCATCTTTATATATAATCTTATTCTTGTCCAATTAATTGTGAATTTCATGATTTGTAGAATTGAAGTTTTTAAGAAAATTTAGGTTATTCAACCTTCTTTTGTTTTCTTTCTAAAATCCTTTTCATATTTATATTTGCTTCTCTTCTAAATTTTCTCTTATTCTCCTTAATTTACTCTGTCTATGCAAATCAGATATAACTGCATGTTTATCTATTGAGGGCTCTAGTTTGTGCATCTTTCTCCCATTCCGTCGGTCAACAACCAACTAAATCTACACTTCTTCCTTCCAATAATTTCTTTTAATATATAATTATGTAGCATTTCTTGCCCCATTAATTTTGAAATTTCGTGATTTGTGGAACTAAAGTTTTTATAACTTTTTTTGGCGAAAATCCAGGTAATAGTTTTTTGAAATTTTTGTTCTCAATTTCATGGGTAAGAAAGATTCTCGTTAGATATTCGTAAAAAATCAGAATGTTGATTTTGATGAATACAACCTAATGTATACCAATGAATTCCAATCTCAATTTAAATTAAAGTATACAAGTTTATTATGTGAATACAAATCACTGAATACACGATGAATACAAACTAATGTATACATAGTGCAGTTTACCGTATACATAAACAAAATCACATGTACAATTAATGAATAAAATTTATATATGTATCATATTAATCTCATTCTTGTATTCATTATAGTAATACGTATAATTGATGGTAATATTCTTATGTATACAATATAAAGTTTATGTATACATGCTACAATTACTGTATACATCAATAAAATTTACACGTCTATTTTTATGAATATTTTTTTGTGAATACATATTTTTTTTTATGTATACATTATGTAATCACAACTTTAATTATTGTATAATTTATGCATATGTATTATTACAGTTTCTAATAAAATGTCATTTAATATTATATGATTAATTATTGTCGATTATGTGATAATTAATACACGTTAGAGCATTAATAATACATTTTCTTACCTTAAAAGTAGTCACAATCTTTTAATAAGTTATTTAAAGAATTCCTTAAAATTTGGTGTAACCTTTTTTTAATGGGTTAATTAATAAATATAGATATTCACTTCTTAAAGTAGGCAATCAGTTTTCTAATAAACTAAGTATTGTTGGTTGGTAAAACAAAAACATAAAATTACAATCAAATATATCTTTATGTTTCTGTAAATTGCGTTAATATATTTTTTTAAATAGACAGCTAAATAAAATTGAGTTTGAGAATTTAAAGAAATTGAAAAGCTAACTTTCTTAATTATAGGAGTTAAAAACAAGGAAGAAAAAACAATCACACATCTCCTTAATTAATGCAGGTTGGTTGCACATGATTAAAAGAAAAAAACTATAAAAAGTTGGTTTTATTTCTTTTAGGCTAATATGTGCTAATTTTGTTTTAGCATATTAATTGCTAATTAATTTGGGCTAAATATTGCCAATTATATATAATAGTTATATTTCTGTGTCAATTCCTC